TTGGCCGGTTCTAGCTGACGGATGGTTTCTAGGGCATCCACTGTGTTCACTACCTCTTTGGTACATCGTATACAACGGCAGACCCATTGGATTGACTGCCATTGCCAAGAGCGAGGTAATATTGCTGGCTTTGATGAGTGCTTTTGAAGCCATTTTCTCCAGACAACCTCCATTTTTTTTCTTGAGCATGAACATTGAAGATGAATGAGACACTATCTATGATGAGGGGCCCTCCCAGAACAGAACAAGATGGTAGAGGGCGCTCAATACGCAGATTTCTTGATGTCATGCCATGCATACGTATCTCCTTCCATTGATTCATCACGCAGTGGTGAAAAAAAAGAGTATTAGTCACAAACGGGAAATGACAATAAGTGCCAGTAGATCTCACCGACATACTCCCTTGATACTCTATCCGCGGACCGCAGATCAGACTTGTCTACAGTCTCAAAATCACACATGGCAAGGGGACGTTAATCAGTCGAGGTATTTAATAGACGCCAGCAATTCAGGATTCGAACACGACAGTTCCCGTCCAAGTACTTGGCTCGTCGTCGCTGAGGTGTCGCCCGGCTCTCTTAAGGCCATTTTCCACAGTCTGGCCCGTCAAAGAGGCGAGATCGATGAAGCCATGCGAGTAACCCTCCCACTGATCACACTTCATTTACTGTAAAGCCTTGGCTGTACTTGGCATATCTACTTTTCGCAGTACGATTTTGAACAAAGTACTCGTTACCGCCGAGCTCATTCAGCCTACATGTACCAAGGGAGACAATGCATCAACCGTCGCGAGGCTGGAAAGAAACCCACAAGGCCATTTGATCCATATGGCAATCGCAGGAAAAATCACGGCTATCGTACCAGTTTACCAGCATCCGGCAAGACATAGAGAGTCAAGAATTTCGCACAGAATGCACAAGTCTGCGACGACACATTTAATCGCCAGTGTGTGGAAGTCGTCATCACCACCCTCATGCAATGTTGGGGGCTTGCCCGGGCCATCGCAAGCAGCTTATTCCAGCCCGGGTGCGTACATCTCGTAACTCGTACCTGGCCGGTCGGAAGTTCGTGTTAAATCTAGACACTTGGTTGCTGCTACAAACGATATACCCAAACTCTAAAACGTGATTTTTAATTCATGTCCATTTTACCTGGCCCCAACCGGCAAGATTTTGTCTCCAGCTCTCAACTACTTCCTTCAAGGTGCCGTCCTCCACCAAGTCATTCAATTCCCTGCCACCGTCTTCGAATACCCAAGGCCGTAATTTTCCAACAAATTCGCTTCCGGTGCCCACCTCCTGCTTCAATTGAGCAATCAGCGACTTGCCATCCTTCAAGCCTGCCTCTGCAGCAGCTTGCAGTCCCTTGACTTGCGATACTACTTCTTTCGGCAAATTGCTGCTCCCTGATCGATCGCGTTCCTTTTCTCGCTCGTTAAACGACAAAATCCACTGCGCAGTCAACTTGGCAGCCATGGCGGTGTCGCGAAGCATTGTTACCTCATGGAACGACCGCAGCGCTGATACAGTCTGTGCGACAGTACCATCAAGCTTAGGCAGCTCGTCAAGCTGCGTTGTTATCGCCGCCTTGACAGCCTCGGTGATTTGGCTGAAGATGCCTGAAAGCGGTGCTGACTTGTCGATGCCTACGCACAGCGGAATCAATGTGGCCAGCACATTAACAGCCTCGTAGTAAAGCATCTCGCTTGAGGTGCAATGGCCCGACGCCTTGTGCACAAATTTCGACATGGAATTGCCAATTCGGCACATCATTTCAATGACAAAGGTATTGTCGATGCCCATTACCGCTGCAGTAGCCTTGTAGACTGTTGGAGGCCGGTATGACAGGATATCCTGAAAGGCTTCGGCCAGAAGTGCCAGGTGACATCGAGTATTCTACATCATTAGCAACTGGCCGACATGAAAATCGGTGTATACTCACAGAAGGGCCGGGGCCAAGACGGAGTCGTTCGTGAACCGGTCGCGATGAGTAGCAGTCCCACGACGGAAATGATCCGTGGTCAACAACGTTTCTCAGTACCAGGTCATCAGGGACCTCGTCTGAGTGTGTCAAAAAGAAGAAGAAAATTAGCACAGCCCGGGGCGAAATCCAACACAAAAACTTACAAAACCGAGCATCGTTCAAAAACTCGCCACAGGGCTCGCCAAGCAGTCTATCTGCTCGAACCTCCTCAACCAGACTCATAGCCCTCGTACAACCAGATCTCAGGTTCTCAATGTATTTGGGCATGTCAATGATGCTCCCATAGCTAGCTTCTTCGAACGCATCAATTAGCCGCCTTGGCATCTTTAGCTTCAGCGAATTAACGTAATGAGACCTCAGAGTCTCAACAAGCTCCCAGCCCCAGCTATCGGACGAGTCTAAAATGATTGGCGATACAGTCGATAAGCGATCATAAAATATGGGCGCAAGCGAGTCCACAATGGTTCTCTTTACCGCCAGACCATGCCAGGCTTCGCGGGACCTGTGCGCCGACCCCAGGAGAAGGTGTAGCTGCACTAGTAGAAGAGAAATCTGGCTGTGTTTGGGCGTGAGAAAAGCTTGGTGCTCGAGGATGAACAGCGCCCGCAAGAGATGCTGAGAAACAGGTGGGGATGAGTGAATGTACCCAGGTCGACTACGAAAAGCCAATTTGACATTACAAAATGCAACGGCAACGGAGAGTTCTGGCAGAATTTCGTTCTGGATGACAGGATTCTCGCCAAAGTCTTTGCTTGCGGACTTATATGCGGCTAACGCCTCCTCGGATATCTTTGTCAAGCAGGTCGGACACGACTCTGACTCAAACTTGGCATTGCAAACCAAGCATTTTGAACTGGGTTTCTCCCCGGCGATTGGCACTCGTCCAATTGGACAAGTTGAAAGCAAGTACTGTGTCTTCAGAGAGAGCAGACTAACCCTGGCGCGCTTTATGGGGTCGTCAACAGATTGTACCAACTGAGCGATGTAAGTGTACGCAACGTGCTTCAGGCCCGAGATGTCCAGCTGCTCCAAGAACTCCTTAACATCGTCAAAGCACGCAGCACTTGACTTCTGATCCTGGATATAGTTGAGCAACTCCCTCAATCGTAGTGAAAAGGGTTGATCATCCTTCATGTCGTCATCGTCATGCGTTTGTAGCGTGAAAGCGCTGGAAACGCGAGCCAAAAGTACATTTCGCTTGTAAATAGGTTTCAGACCACTGGACCGCGCCAGCCTAAGCATCAAGCTTTTTATTCGTGCCACGATTCTTCTCAATGTCAGCCTCCTCAATCAACGGGTGGCAGCAGGAACAGACTTACTCTGTGTTGCAGCTCTTAAGATAAGATGCGCCTTCAATAAAGTTCTTCCACACCAGCCAGTCACAGGCCAGTAGCGACAACTCCCCATTCTCGTCTGTGTGTGACAAGCATGATTCGCAAAGATTGCACAGTGCCTCCCAATCTTGTTGCTTGCGGTAATTTGCTGCCGTCCGCTGGAAAAGCTCCTTTCTTCCAAGTCGAAATTGGGCAATGGGAGAAAATAAGGGGCTTTCAATGAGCGTCTTCACATCGTCCGCCGTTCCGTGCGTTTCAAAAATATCGTACAACAGTAGAATCTCCTCCTCGGTTTTAATGCCTCGCGCGGGCGCTTCTTTTGACTCAGATGCATGCGCCTGTTCAGCGAGTTGAGCCGCACGCTGTATTTGCCTTTGTGCGAGCATTCCATACAACTTTTTCTTCTCCGGGGGAGATTGACTGCTCGTCTGTGGTCACAGTCAGCAATTGTATAAAACGCCTGTGATCCCGTCAACCTACAGCTAGCATGTGAGTGATAACAATGTTCCAAAACATAAAGTCCCTCTCTTGGGAAAATGATCTATCGATAATGGCCGCAATCTAGTCCATCATTAGCTTTACACTGTGACTGGAATCTTCGTGGGCATGACATACTTGCTGAGCGCTAACCAAGTCCCAATGCAACAGACACGACTGCAAGCACCTCGTGGCCGCAATTTTATCCTTGGGCGCCGCTTTGACAGCCCTTACCCTCAATGGCCCAATCGTCTCTGGAAATGCATCCTCTGGAATCAGGTCTAATGTCGCCCACTCCAACAAGTCAATGCCATCCACATCCTTTACCACCGTCCCATCCTTGACAAACTTGTCCACAGCCTCAACGGCGGCAAACTTGGCGTTAGGGTCGTCCAATTGGCTCTCAGCGCATACTTTTACAATCTTCAATCCAAGTTAGTTCTAAGGCTTCAAGGAAAGCTATCACTTGCGGCCACTGTATTCTCCTGGATCTCTCACATCAAAGTACTGGTCGTTGAGAGTGCGCGCTCGTTGAGAGGCCAGTCTCATAGCCACAGACCAGTTGCCATCCTGAAAAGCAGATTGGAGCTGGATATCGACCCCGTTTCTCAAACGGGGGCGTTGACGACTCATGGCATATGGGAAGCCGTGTGCTTTTCGGGCACGAGGGCGATAGTTGAGGATTCAAAGGCTCGTTGTTCACATAAAATTTGGCGGGGCAGCTTTTGGAGGGGCTACAGAAGTTCTTCGTACAGTATATGCACTGTGCGTACATGCGGCACTCTTATCAGATGCTGTTTGCGACGTGGCATTTGAAAAAACTGAGACACATGATTGTTTTTATGAATGTCCTTCCATAATAGGTAGAGGAATTGGTATACAATGTCTGTCGCGACCTTTTACGCAGCCACACAACGCCCTTCCTGAAAGCCTCCAGTATCGTCCTTCGCCAACCCCCTTCCTAATCGCACAATAATATACATGATTGCTCCGTATATTGACACTATTCCATCATCGCTGGAAAGGATGCCAACTAAATCCCAGTGGCTATACGCAGCCGCCATTGGCGAGCTCGGCACTCCTCACATCAAATATTAAGGATGGGTCAATCTCCTGTAGTCACATCTTGATGTCATCCAACCCCAGATCATCCAAAGATGCCCCCGCGTTCCTTCTTTCGCCTCTCGGTCTACCAATCATCAACAATTAGTCCATCATAGCCTCGTCCGCGGCACACCCGCAGTCTTGAACATGGGCCATACGCACCCAGGCAGCCTTGCAGTCCCGATACGCCCTACAGCTGTCAGCACGCGTCGATCCCAATTTCTTGCGACAGCACATACTGAAAATACTCTCCGCACATAGATTTATCCCCCCCGTTCCGGTATAAACATTTATAACTTCGCTGCGCTGCCTCTTGGCACGGGTCGTAGAACTCGGACTTGGATTTCCTGTATTTGGTCAGTCAATGCGGCGTCATGTTGTATCGGCATGTGCGGCATACGTCTCGAATTTCTCTTTGCTCTTGATGTTCCACGGGTCCTTTTCGGACGCCGGGGGTGCTGAGTCTGACATGTCGGATGATGTGGTTGGGATGATTTCCAGACTCTGGATTGGCATGAAGTCATTCCACGGCAAAATATCGGCAATGGCTAAGCCCGGTATCATTCGCACAGTACGGAGTACAATAAACATCCACAGTACCAAATCACGTAAGTGATGAGTGTGCCACGAGGTCAATGTACCACGTCTTCGAATACGAAATTAATCCGCCTTTTTAATACTCTCCCAAAATCCATCGCCGTCAAAGTCACCCTTCCTGTTCCCAAATAAGCCAGCCCTTGCCAACTCAATCTTCCGCACCGTCTCCTTGCTGCAACACAACCCGACATCAAACTCCTTCAAGTCAGTGTCACCCATCAGCGCCAGCGCCGCTAATCCCAGATACGAATGATACAAATCAGGCGGCCCACCGGCATGTTTCGAAAAGCCGCCTATTCGATGTTGTGTGACATCCAAAAGGTACTGCCTAGAAGGGGGGATGTTGACGGCGTGAAAACTGTCCACCATCTACTCACCATCAGCAAAGCTCATCACCACTCGTGATACCAACCACCATGTACTAACCGCAAGGGTCCCGGCAACCCACCAGCAATAGCAAGTATCCGCCTTTTTATTCCACCGCCCATTATATCCCACGTGGGCGCAGTGATGTGACAAGCTCAGATCGCCAAGTTTGGCCTGCACGTAATTCGCATCTCCCTCGTCAGACTCATCTTGCTCTTGCTCAACGAGGTAGTTGAACTGTCTGTGAACAAGAAAGTGAATCAACGCATCGCGATCTGGTACCCCTTTGTCGACGGCTTCGCTTTTATGTGGCGCTGTTGATGATGCGGGGCGATCGAGCATGTATAATGCTGCGATCGCGCAGTAGGCATAGCCGGCTTCTCCTATTAGCATTTATTTAGAATCGAAAAAGGCGTCATCTTACATACCGTGAGACTCGTGTTGCGATAACTCTGCCGCGCCACCATCGTACGTCTCCTCGCAATTAGCTCCCAATTCATGTCGAATGTCATGTAAAAACCTACCTGCGTATGTCGTATGTGATCAACCATCCTCTCAACGTCAATGTCCTCCTCATCCCCTTCCCCACGGAGCATCCACCTAATTGCACTCGCCAGGTAGCTATGACGGGTATCTCTCCCTCCCACAGCCTCTCCCTCCCACAATACCTGGCCAAAACTCCCGTCCGGTCTCTGCAATTTCGTCACCCACCGGAGCAGTTTGCGCCGCCGTACGCCTGCAAAGGCCGCTCTTGCCTCGTCGTCTGTTCCAGCGGCAACGCCTAACAAGAGTAGGGCGAAGAAAGTTGTAGCCAGGTTTGCTGACCCCTTTGTCGCATCTTGTCCTGACATAACATGGGTTGGGCTACCGCAGAAACCGCCGTCGGGATGCTGCAGGCTCAGCACCCAGGAACGAATGGATGAGCGCTCCTTCGAGGTGAATGGCACGGAAAGCAAATCGAGGGCCGAGACAATGAAGAATGCGAATGTAAGGCGTGTGGAGTCGTTGGTTGTGTATGCCGAAGGGAGATAGCTGGTGAAGCAGCGTTGCCAGTACTTGACATGTCGTGGCTTGTCGAGAGACGCCATGGTGCTGGGCGCCAGGTGCAATTGTCTACTTTGAGTAGTCTTGTTGCCTAGCAGATATGAACATCATGTCAATCCCTCTGCATGCAGCATCGCAGACGTTGAAGATGATGGTGCTTGAACGAGGGCTGATGAAGGGCTCAGGGCCCCTTCCCCACCCCCACCAGGCTTCCGGCAAAGCTCAAGCTCCAACGTCACCTGCAGCTACCGTCTGGTAGGTACTCCGTATGCCTTCCTCCACCGAGTCCACCTTTCTTCTTTGTAAAAACATCCAAGAAGCTCAACGCCACACCGTTTCTTGTACCACGTCCAAGCCACGCCCCTGCATTCCAGTCCCTCTCTACCGACTACCCCTGTCCAGACTCTACACGTCGACCAAAATACGTGTCGCATCCTCAACCACCGGACCCCAGTGACGCTGGTCGCAAAGCCAGCTACATCTGAAGGCCGTGTGACTCTGCGCCCGAAGTCCATCATTCGACAAACCGACCAGCTTCCCAAGCTTACCAGGACCAGACTTTACTTTTCTTCTACTCCGTAGGCTACGCATCGTTGGTTCTTCCAGCCTCTGTTTCCCGGTCTGCGATTCTGAAACATTCAAAAACGTGTCCTCGTCCCATGTCGCTTCGGACGACCGTTTCGACCATTCTATAGTTATTAACCATTTACACTGCGACTCGCCTTTACAAACGCCCCGTCTCTACAACCGGCCCCCATCGCAGCACTGACCAAATACTCTCCCATCTTGCCAAGCAACTAGCAAACTCACCATTCGGCTACCGTCCAAAACCAACAATCAACAACCCATCACACCCACCGCCATGGCTCTCATAACATCCCAAACCCTCATCACGTCCATATCGCTCTTCCACATCACCCTGGGCTTCTTCTTCCTCACAAATCCCAGCACTATCAACGACCAAATCCTCGTCCAAGTCCTCGGCCAAAGCATGGGAATCGTAAGCAACCACGGCTACCCAATCTCTCCATCCCCAAAACCAAGAAAACACGGCTAACAACAGTAGCCCTTTGCGCGCGGCTTCGACACACAATCCCACACACTCAGCTTTCTAGCCGTTGTCCTTGCCTTCTTTGGCTTCAGCGACCTCCTCTCGCTGGGTATGCCCGAGGAGCTAGGCTCCCTGTACTACTGGGGGACACAAGGTACTCTTTCCCGCCAACCGTACTCACACCAAGGAGTTGCTAACGGATTCCCAGCCCCCATGCGAGCCTTCCTCTCCATGACACTCACCTTCTACACCTACACGTTCGGCCCGTCATCCCCTCTCTACGGCGGCGCAACGCACCGCACCCGCGGCGGTTACAACGCTTCATACTCGGCCGCCTCGTGGGGCGGCGACGGTCTCAAGAACCGCGTCTTCTTCACATTTGTGTTTATTGAGATGATTGCCTGGTTTTGGGTATGGGTTACGCTGAGGGAGGAAAAGGCCGGCGTGGTGGAGAGGATGAGAACGGGTGCTGCGGCCAAGAGACGCACGAACGAGGAATGACGGTCTATGATGCGGGGGGCGGAGGAATCCTGTTTGATATTTCCTGGCTACGGCCAGAGGGGGTGATGTTGGATATTAATGCCCAGGGCCGGCGTAGGATTATACCCAATTTACGACACGTTATCAAGTACTACATATTTTGTAGCCTGTGACGTCACCTGCACGGCATGTAGAAATTTGCTGTATCCCGTTGAGAATTGTGGATTGTGCCGGTGACGGACAGGTATAAAGGTGCCGGACAACAACTTCGCACGATAGAGTGCCCACCCATCAAGTGGACAAATTAAATAATAGTCGATGAGACAATTTTCATCATGTAAAATACATTCATGGTATCCATAGCCGTACATGGGTATATTCCTCCAAGCTACATGCACAATCCTCCATCCCAAATGCAACCTAACAAAAACAAAATGCAGGCATGAAATGTATCTGAGAAGCAGCGTAAATGCTTCCCAAGGAATATATATAGTTGGGTCGTAAAAGTCAGGAAAAATAACGATGGCCGTCCACTTCTGACAGCCACCAAGCCCAAGCCAAGCGCTTCAAGTTACGACTTGGCTGCGTCTACTTTTGCCGTTGCGGGTGCATTTTCGGCTGATGGGCTCTCGACATCGGCCAACTGCAACGGCTCGTCTTCGAGAATCTGCTCTTCGATAATCTCGCCTGGTCTCCCGACAATAGGCTGGAAAGACTCGACTTCTTCAAACTCGTCCTCCTCTTCTTCGTCCTCCTCGACGACCGGCTCCTCATCTTCTTCCTGAATGGTGATTTCTCCCGATCGCCGACCCAGCGCGGAACCGCTTCCACTGCGTGAATGAGATCCTGAGTTTGTGTTACGGCTGATGTGATGGCCAGCGCTGCCAAAGTTCAACGACGGCCCCTTGAAGATGTTTCTCTTTCGCTTGGCAAATAGCACCCCGGAAGAAAAGGGATTTGGTGAACCAGGAGGCGGTTGTTGGTTCCCGCTCGGCATTCCTTCATCGTAAATACGCAACGGAGGCGGAGCTGGAGACCCTCGAACAAGACGAATGTTGGAGGGGAACGAGTTGGCCGTCGGCGTAGCCGGCAACACTTTGACGGAATGATGAGGAGACTGTCCGCGTCCAAGAGGAGTTTTCGACGTCGAGACGGAGCCGGCTGAGCTAGTTGATGAAGCCTTGGAATGCGAGTGACGGTGGTGATGCATAGATCGAACGGAAGACACAGACGACGAGGTGGACTTTCTTCCTCGCAAGCCGGCAGAAGATCGACGCATAGCAGATCGAGGAGTAACAGGGGCGGGAGACAACGACTGGCGCTTGTAGGATGAAGAATTCGCTACTCGTGGCCGGAGAGGTTGTATGTGAGCCGAAGGGGGGAAAGACGAGCCCGAAGGGGTTCTGGTGGGAACATTGGCTTGGCCATTAACCGGTCCTCCTTTGGTCAAGCCATTTGCCACGACGCCTTTTGGCAATGATGCTGTCGGGTGGCCGCTATCAACAGAACTTGTAGTCGGGTACTTGCTTGTCTGAGGTCTTGGGCTGACATCTTTGCCACCGCTGTTACCAGAGCTATCCTTCAGATGCAAGTTAGGCGTGCTTCGACTCGTTCGCCTTTCGTGGCCCTTTCTCCGCTTCGTCGCATTTTCAATAAACCAATGTGACAGGTTCTTCCAGTGGGCAATGATAGCTTGACTGGGCTTCTTCTTCGTCTTTTGCTGCCCATTTTGTTGAGTATTTTGCGCGGCACTGCCATTGCTTCTGATGCCGAGCGTATCCGAAGTTGTCACCAAATGCAATGTAGATCCACGGGACCTGGCGCTGCGAATCACGCCTTCCTTCGGTGGTGGGATGGGTCGACGGTGCCGTGAAGTAGATACAGACCGAATTGAGTCCTTATCAATTGGTGTCGGCGGAATGTCATTGTGAGGTCGGCCAGACTCTGGAAGCAATGGCAAGTCTGTCACTGTAAAATCGCCATGGTAATTTGCGCTCCTTTGTTCTGGCCTTCCTCTTCTGGAGCCATGTTCACCGAGTCTAATAAACTGACTTGTCAGGCCTGCATCCTCGTCCACATCCTGCAAAATCGGCGTCATGCGGTCAAGTCGGCTCGAGGCGGCAGATAGCCTTCGCAGGCTCCTTTCTAGCTCCTTTTCTTGTCGTTTTCGATCCCTCCTCAACATCTTCCGTTCCTCCTTCTCCAATAGTAACGTCCACCAGCCGGCCAATGCATCGCATTTTTGCGCCAAGACACTTTCGATTACCGCATCAATGTCGACCCCGGCACTTCGCATGCGCTCCAGGCAGTCCTTTTCTAATGCCGTGGAAAACGGGGAGTGTGCCTTGACGTCGAGAATTGCTTGTTGTGCAGGAGCATGTTCTACAAGGAAGGGGTGTGCTAGTATATCAGGAAATGACGGCCGAGGAAGGGGTCGTTTTGAAAGGAGGAGCTTGAGTAAGGAAATAGCATCGGAAGTAAGGTGGTCGGGGTACTTTGGTTCCTCGGACAATATTCTTGTTCGTGTAATGTTGTCGTCATCGTCGTCGAAGGGCAATTCCCCGCAGAGCAGCGCGTATAATATAATTCCCAAACTCCAAACATCTACCTTTTCGCCGGCATATTTCTCCCCCTTGAGCATTTCGGGTGCTGCGTAGCATATTGTACCGCAGAAAGTTTGCAGATAATTGGTGCGACCTTCGTACTCTCGCGTGAAGCCGAAGTCGACGAGTTTAACGTTTTCGTTTTTATCGAGCAGGATATTTTCGAGTTTCAAATCGCGATGGACACATGACTGTAAGTGGACGTACGATACAGCACCGACAAGCTGGCAAAATATCTTTTGTACTTTGGCCACGGGGAGTGGTCCATGTTGGAGGAGATGGTTGTACAATTCGTCACCTTAGCCAAGTCAGCCGTGATATGTAGACTAATTTCCGCCTACCGCCGACGAATTACATACCAGAGCAATATTCAAGCACGAGCCACACCAAGTTTTCCGTCACAATGACCTCGTATAGCCGCGCAATGTGCGGGTGAACAAATTGTCGGTGGTGGTGAATTTCGCGAGCAAGGTTGGCATCGTCCTTGTGCGCGGATTTTAAAACAACCTGTCATATCAAGAAGAGACAGTCAGTTTCAGCCAAACCAACACGTGAATGCTAGTCGCCCTGGCATGCGGCACAGGACAGCGTATCACAGGTCATACCTTTGACCCATTGGTGAGCTTATGCGTCGCAAGATAAACTTTTCCGAATGATCCCTTTCCTATTAATCGGCCGAGGGTATAATTTCCAACGGATTTCAGCTCGCTGCTGGAGAATTCGCTGGACAAAACATGTTTGTTAGCACCGGTCAATAGTATGTGAGATGGTGATGATGACAATCTCCTTCACAAAAGGGGCAAACTCGGGTAGCTACTTACTCCAACAACTGCTGGTATGAATTGGCCAACTGAGCAGAGGGAAAGAAGGTTAGCTTCTCGCGATTACCTTGGAGGGCATTCGATTGTTGGTAAAGCGGGCTTGCAATTGTGTCAAAAACACCGAGCCAAACATGATGGTCCGTACCTTGGCCTTGCGCCCCTGCACGTCAGCCTTCCCCTTGGCTGATTGCATGCCTTGATTACGCGTCAACCCTGCGCGACAAGAGCACCAGGGCTGGGATTCAGCTGATGTGTTCCGCCGCTTGGAAAGCTGAGAAGAGAAAAATGTACAGGGAAAGAAAGGAGAGCAGGAGCCAGCGCCAGTATTGTATCGGTGGTTGTGGAAGGGCGTTGGGCAGTCGGTGTGCGACGTCCGGGGTGCCTTGTTCGGAACGGAGGTGGAGATCGTAGAATGGCCCCCAAGGCTTCGGTCACCCGGGGAAGCAGAAGACAGAACCTGCCTGCCTGCGTACCGACTAGTTGGCTCGTCGGATCACTCCAGATGAGGAGAATCGCCAAGCTTGGGATGGATGAGGCATCCAGAGTTGGGATGAGGCTTTGGACGCGCGAGGCTGCGGCTGCAGGCGGAGTGGGCCGAGGTGGGTAGGCTGGAGACTCGAGAGAGCCGGTCTGTATTTTGTAAATCAAGGTGCAAGGTCGAATGTTTCAATGTTAGTCCGTCTCGTGCTCGTCGATTCTGTCGAAAGTCGCTGCCAGACGTTAAAAGTCAGATGCCAGACGCTGCTCTGTTGCAGAGTCCAAACAGCGCAACTCGGCCACGACGTAAAGAAGGCGGGATCAACGATTGATCCACTTGACAATTGTTGGTGCCAAGGCTCGCCGTGAATGGTCTTTAGGCGCGAAGGGACGGATGAGATGATGGATACCGGAGAAAATGCGTAGTGATGGACATGGGAATGGGAATTGGGAGTACGAAGAACCAGAGGCGGACTGGCTGACTGTGGTGGGCATTGGCAAAGCTCCAATAGAGACACTGCATCCATCCATGTCTCTCCATGTCCCCCTCCTTAACTTTGAGCCCGAGTATTCACAGAATCACGTCCCACGTACCCAGCAGTCAGAAATGAGCGGGAATAATCTCGGCACATCACCACCCTCCATCTACAAAGCATAAACGAACAGAGGTCGGGCCGAGTCCGACATCGACATCGACATCGACATCGACTGACATCTGGTCGTCATGCGCGCGTGCTCAACCTAAAATGGCCTGATCAACTGCACATTTACAATTGCAATATGTATTACCGCTGCGACTACGGCGTGCTTGATTAATCAAAACGTGCAAGCAGCCCGGCCCCATGGTCATGTCTCGAGCTAGGACGAGTTTCAACAATAAAAAAATTTTGCCGGTTCCAAAGCATCATGACGTAGACGACAGTTCGTCGTCACCCAAAAGCTTCCCATGGGGTGGGGCAAGAACAACAACAACAACACCAGGAGATCAGCTAGTCCGTCAATGCGTGTATGAGTATATCAAAAGGTATGTGCTAAATTGTCACTATGTCTATAGGGTCTTTTGTGCCAAATAAAAATGTGCTCTGCAAAGTGCACAGGCGGTTAATTTATACACGACGTTGAGGCAGTCAGGTACAGGGTAACTCAATGACCACGAGCCAAGCAACCATACCGCGCCCAACATCCAATCCATATACTAGTTAATCCATTTTATGCTTGTCCACCATGCGCCTATCATACACGAGAGCTCGCTTTGTTTGTGCTTCCCTTGCTTCCCAAACCAAACAGGTATCAAACTCCCCTCCATGCAAAAACCAAACCCATGAGCCGCCCCGGCTGCAATACAGTATCGTACTTCAGAAACGTAGTAGCCCTACCCAAAAAATGCCCGTCCTGTCAGTGCCGTACGCGCCGTGCCGCAGTCATTACTATAATACAATATACCAAGAAAACCGGTATAAGCCATAGCCATTATGGGGAGTCGGAGGCGCTTTGGCCATATGAAAAAGTCGCCACGTCGACCGGCTGACCAGACTCAGCGCTTCCTCGTGTCTCGGCCCTTCTTTTTGTTCTTTTTCATGCCCTTTGGCAGCTCTAGCTTCGTATGTTTCAGCTCCTCTGTCATGACCTTGAGCATATATTGATCGATATTGCCCATGCTTTCACCGTACGCGTTGTACTCGATTTCGCCTTCACCAATAGGTGTCATTTCCTCCAGGTCCAAGCCGTTGTCCATCACGGATTTTCCAGCCGGTGTGCCTTGTCGTGCCGTTGATGTACCCGAGGCCGTACCGTTGGTCTTCTCGGTAAAGTCGGCATCGTCGGCCTGAATCTCTCTTTCGGCCACTCGCGCCGCTGCAACATCTTCTCTATCTTCAGCTTGCTCAAGCGCTCTACCAACAGTTCTCTGGTCTCTGCTTGTATCAGGACCGCCTAGGACCCTCTCCAGCGCGGCATCTGCAGCGGCGACGCCTTCACTGGTAAAGTCTACCTTGTCCTCCAACACTTCTCGGACAGAAATCTTGTTGAAATAGTCTGTAGTGAATTCTCCCTCTTGGATCACCACGTCGTCCAGCATTTGCTTCTGTGAAGCCTTTCGTAAAATGTTTGCTTCAATTGTGTGCTCACTGACAAGCCGATAAATGTGCACATCTCGTGTCTGGCCGATGCGATGGCATCGATCCTGACACTGCTTATCCATAGCTGGATTCCAGTCTTGGTCATAAAAGATGACGGTGTCGGCACCCGTTAAATTGATACCCAGACCGCCTGATCTTGTCGACAAGATAAAGCACAAAATGCGAGGGTCATTGTTGAATCGGTCTGTCAAGATTTGCCGCTGCTCTACCTTGGTTGCGCCATCGAGACGAAGGTACTTGTGACCGTGAATATTGAGGAACTGCTCCAAGATATCCAGGACTTTAGTCATTTGTGTGAATATCAACGCTCGGTGGCCACCAGCTTGCAGTTTTCGAAGTAACTTATCCAAGACTTGCAGCTTGCCACAGTCGTATTGGAGGAGTCGCTTGTCCGGAAACTGAATGCTGTGTCTCATACGAGATTCATGCCAAGGGTCACGTGGAGCTTGCTTGCGTAGAAAAGGCGCCCATCGCACAGGAGCCGAGAGCCTGAGGTCTTCATCCGTGAAAGCTTGGACTGCTTTGGGGCCTAACAGTACCTGCTCCAGATCTCGGGTCACAACGGGTGGTGTAACGCACGAGAACTTGGAAATTGTAGATTTTAGAGTCTCGGCACGTTGATCAAGGGTCGGCGTCAAGGCACGGACGAAGGCGAGATCACCCTCGAACCAGGACATGATCTTTTGAGGGATCTTGGGCTTGGGCCGACAAGGGCGCTTGTACGCATTGATCGACACAAGATCAACGACATTCTTGCCATAAACTGGTCGTTGCTGCCGGCGGAGAGCATTGAGGTACACGCAATGTTGAAGTTCTTCGAACCGACCCCATCTTGCTCCGCTCTCCAGATACGAAATGCTGGATCCTACCGTGGAGGGATCAATAATTGTATGTGCGGCCTGAGCCCTGACTTTTTGTGCCTCACGCAAGTCCATCAGTGCTCGATGCGAACTAAGCTGAGCGATTCGATCCGCATTGACGCTGCTTAATTTCTCGTGTTGGGTAGGTACGAGATTCAAGAATCCTAAATTGACTGTGTTCATTGGCGCATCCGCTAGAAGTGATCGAACCTTGCGCTCCGTAAAGGTGTATTCGGCCGGTACCGATTTAGACATGCGGAAAGAGGTCATGATTGGCCGGTCGATAAACAAATCTGGGTGGTTGCAAACCTTGCGTAGCTGCATCAGACAGTTGATAATAGACAAATAGTTGCCAGATGACAAAGTCTCTTTGGTATCCGATCTCGAAAGAAACCCGTCATAAAGCTCACGCTGCCGTTTTGATAGACGACAAAACTCAACGTGCTCATATTTGGCTGGCATCTGCTTCTCAACATCTGCTTTGAGACGGCGCAGCAAGTACGGGCGAAGAACTTTGTGAAGTTTGGAAATGATTGCTCTCGCCTCTTCATCCATTTGGTCTCTGCCGCTTTCTAAAATTTGGGATTCGGGTTTGTGGAACCAATCCTGAAATTCTTGCAGGTCTGCAAAGCCACCGACTCCGTTTTCGGCAGGCATGAGGAAGAAGAGAAGTGACCACAATTCTGTAAGGTTGTTTTGTAAAGGCGTACCTGTTAGTAGAAGACGAGCCTGGGTATTGAAGCCGAGCAATGTCTGCCATCTTTGGGATTTGAAGTTCTTGATATTGTGAGCTTCGTCTAGGACCAAGTAGTGCCATCTTCGACGTTTGAATACTTGCTGATCCTGGAGTACCAGCTGATATGATGTGATACAGACGTTCCAAACATCGTCATTATTCCACCCTTGGCGCTTTCGCTTCCGTTCGTCCTGGGATCCATAGTAAGCCAAGATTTTGAATCCAGGACACCATTTCTTGAATTCCATCTCCCAGTTCAGCATGACACTAGTGGGCACGACTACCAGGTGGGGACCCCAGACTTCGTGGTAACAGGCCAAATGTGCTAAAAGTGCAATAGTTTGGATAGTTTTGCCTAGACCCATTTCGTCTGCGAGGATGCCGTTGGTATTATTTGCGTAAAGGCCAGCGAGCCAATCCAGACCGTCATGTTGGTATTCACGAAGAGTTCCGCGAAGGAGAAATGGAATATCGGTCTTGTGAGTGGAAGGAGTGTGAGGGGTTACCGATCGACTCCCTGAAGGTTTTGCGACAGCAAGTTCAGCTGACGAAGCCTCGACTTCAGACGGTTTTGTGTCCGACGTTGGTGGCGACTGGCTACGTCGAGGGCTCGTGGGATTAGTAACTGGTTCTGTTTCTGGGCTGGAGGGTTTACCCAAGTCAGGGGCCTGCGTGGAAACCTGTGGCTGGACAGCATCCTCGTCATGAGCATCTGCCATTGTCATATCTTCATTTGGTGATCCAGCCTGCATCTCTTGAAGTGGAGGGACCATCTCAGTTGTGTTGCGATCAGAAGGTTCAATTTTTGAACCCTCCAGGTCCTGGCTCGCTGCTTTGGAATTTTCAGCATTCGCAGAATCCTCCACCAGAGATACCACTGGGTGATCATGAGCACTAGTGAATGGCTGGTGATCTGCGCTCG